AAAAATGCTTTTGCGGACTGATGACAAAAACAACTGTTTATTTTGTGTCATATTTAACTACAAGGATTGTTTAGTTACACAAATTTTTTCTTCTTTTTTGGTGGCACTATACATATTTTATACATATTTTATTAGGAATTCACTACTTGTTCATTGAACCTATCATAAATAAAACTGTACATAGCATAAACACATTACACTTTTTAAGTATTAAATACAAAAATATAAATATATAAAAGACAAACTTCTTTATTGRAAAATTCTTAGCAAATTTATTAATATTCAAAGTAAAAAAATAATAACAATAAAAACAAACATAAAGTGCTGTATATTGACATGGGTACACAAAAACCATGACAGAAACAAATCAGTTCTATTCAAGAGTTCAACAACAATAATGTAGAAATAGATGTTTTTAAAAATGACAGTAAAACAACATTGTCCCTGTCTTAAATCTGTTCAACAGTGAAATAAAAGTTTTCTTTTGATTTTGGGGATGTCTATATAACTAGACCTTATTTTTGCTTTAAAAAATATTAATATCAAATAGGGTCCAAAAGTAAAGTTAGCTCTTGTTTAGATTTTGTTGGTCTTTTTTTATTAGGGCAGCACTGCAGTGCAGGTTAGAGCTGCATCATGTGGGTTTTCTCTGGGTACTTCATTTTCCTTCCACAGACTAAAAACATGCAAGTTAGGTTCATTAGTATTGTCCCTATGTTTGAGTAAGAGTATGAATGGTTGTTTGTCTCTGTGACGGACCTACGACCTGTCCAATGTGTTCCTCGCCTTTTGCACAGTGACTGCTGGTGAGAAGGACCAGATCCATAGAAATTGGAGAGGAGAAGCAGGTAAATACATTTGTTGAATAGATGACTTTTAAATACAAAATCTATTAAAAAGCAGGAAAAAGAATGCCCTGGTTTCAACAAAAGTACTTTTATGATTCCACAAAGATATTATCAAAGTGAAAGCACATATAATAAGTTTTAAATTAGAAAAATCTAACAGCAGTGAAGTGTTTCATTTTCTGCACATATGAATATGTTTAAAATAAAACAATCAATAAATAATTGCTGACTAGAACATCTGCGCTTATTCACATACTGAATTACAAAAATATAATTCAAAACAGGCTCAATTTCAGGCTTTTTACACCAGTTTAGATTTATCATTAAGGTCAGTATTGAAATCAACCTTGAGGTAAATTAAAAAAAACTCGTAATAACTGTGCTCTTTGCATTTACTCTTTACCCACTGAACCAGTGTGTGTAAAAACCTAAATATGCTCCAGGACAATCAAAAAACACATTTTTTAAACGTATTTCAAATGTGAGAAAAACAGAATAAAAATTTTTGTTTATACTTGAATGTCAGGCTCCAAAAGACTTGCAGTGAGGGGTCCTGAGTCAASTCTGATCCCTCCCACCCCAGCATCTGAGACAACTGGTGAGGCRTTGGGGGTCCTGACAGTGAGAGAGGACAGTGATGGGGAGAAAGTGGGCGTCATAGCCGATGGGGTAAGTCCTGTATTCCTGGCTAAGGGCGAATAAGCATATTTGGGGAAGGAGGGCTTCCTGCTCAGGCTTGGCATTCGTCTTGGCCTTCTTGAAGGAACAGTCCTAATGCCAGGCTGTGCCACTCCAGTTATTAGAGGAGGTGGGTATATCAGACAGTTTGTCTCTGCTGCTAAGTCCTCGTGGCCACCTTGAAGCTCCTCATCAGGGAGCATACTAATATCGGTGAAGACTGAAGCCAGAGCTTGGAAGCGTGGCTCCCAGTCTAAAAGGTAGTCCCAGCTGTAGCTGCCCTGTAGCTGCTCCTCGAGGTAAAACAATGAAGACAGAGAGTCTGCAGGGGCTTGGGCTTCAGAGAGTGGGGTGTATCCTTTAGTCCCCATGCAGTCCTCTAAATCATTCACTCTAAGTATTAAACCCTCCCCTCCTCCCTCCTCTTTGAAATGGTGGAGACTTTCTATGATGGACATTCCTGTGGTTAAACCTTTATTAAGCGATAGAATGGGTTTTGATCCAACATTTATAGAGTGGCAGGAAAGATCATCTCCTGGTAATGCAAAGTTAGGAATTTCTGTGGCATGTTTCTCAAATGTGTCTTCTTTGTGGCAAGGGTACTCATTGATCCATTTGATTTCCTGATCTTCAGCTGTCTCTCCCTCTGCTGATCCACGACCACTGGAGTCTGAGTGATTGTATGAGTTTACGTTGTCCCTCTTTGTAACCAAGATTCTACACTGTGGTAAATCTTGCAAAGCTATAGCTCTCTGCATTTGGCCATTGGATTCATCAAATGAGCCAGTACTATGGTTCAAGTGTGGAACAACTGCAGCTGCCTTTCCAAGGGTGGCTTCTTTAACTTTAAATTTGAAAACCAAACCCACAAAGATGACAAGGACAAAAAGGAACAAGAGCAGTGCGAGACTCAAACTAAGCATGTGTGATTCAAGATGAACCCCGACAAGTGCTTCAGCTGAGCTGGAGATATTTATAAAAACAAGGCAAGTTGTAGTCCTGGAGCCCAGTTTGGGACTTCCTGCAGACACAGTCAGTTCCACTGTGTCCTTGTTGGCATAGCTACCTCCCCTGCGATTTATAGGATCGGACACAAAGATGGCACCAATCGTTTTGTTAATTGAGAAAAACGGCGATGAATTCAGGAGAGAGTACTCTACTAGTCCGTCCACCCCTCCATCATGGTCCATCGCCATCACAAAACCAACTGTATCTCCAGTTTTGATGTTTTCTGGAAGAAGGAAGTTGTACTGCTTCTGAGTAAAAATAGGACTAAACTCATCCACTCCCTTAATGCTCATCTGCACTCTCACTCTTGCTGTTTTGTCCCCTTTGTCTCTGGCCTCTACTACAAAGCAGTACTCACTTTCCCGTTCGTAATCAAATGTTTGTCTGGTGTGGATACCTCCTGTGAGGGGGTCAATGGCAAAAGCCTCCTTCCTCTCTGGGCTGCCACTTCCGTAGTCCATGAAGCAAGAGGACAGAATAGAATAGGTGAGCTTGCCGTAGGGGCCTAAATCCTTGTCAACAGCATGAACAGAACACGCATGAGTAAAAGCTGGGAGGTTTTCCAGCACGGAACAGTTCATTGTAGGGAACATGAAGTATGGTGTGTTGTCATTCTCATCTAAGACTTCAATGAAGACAACAGTAAAGGCCACTTTAGAGTTTTCAGATGCTTCGCCTCCATCGGCTGCTCTGATGGTCAAGACGTATTTTAAGTCCTGCTCATAGTCAAGGGAATGGTTGACCAACAAAAGGCCTGTCTGGTAGTCTAGTTTGAAGTGGTTTTTATCATTCCCAGAAACAATGCTGTATCGCACAAGGCCGTTGATTCCCAGATCAGGATCCTGAGCAGTGACCTGGACCACACTGGTACCTATCTGGCTGTTTTCACTTACTTGCGTGTGGTACTCTGTGCTGGAGAAAACAGGAGGGTTATCATTGAAGTCTGTAACGATCACCTTGATGACCGCTGAGCTGTTCAGTGGAGGCGTTCCTCTGTCAGAAACAGTAACCGTTAGTACATAGCTCTCAGTTGTTTCACGGTCTAAAGGTTGGCACAGAACAAGCTTTGCTACATTCGACATTCGATTGTCAATTAGTATCATTTTCACTTCCAAACAAAATCGTTTTCTCTCGTTTCCGCTGATGATGTCATAGTCCAGATGGGTATTTTCAGGGCTCCAGTCTTTGTCCTCTGCAGACAAAGTAAGAAGGGTGGTCTCAGTGGGCGTGTCTTCAGGGACAGAAAGAGCGTAGACGTCCTTGAGAAACAAAGGCTCATGGTCATTGTTGTCCAGAATCTTGATGCTGACAGAAGTGACAGTGGATAGAACAGGATCGCCTCCATCTCTTGCCTCAACCAGAAGATGGATCGGGTTGCTGTTTGCCAAGTCCTTCAAGGGCTTACTGGTGAAAACAGCACCTGCAATATAAAAATACTGTATGCATAAGTTACATGATTCCAATAAGCCTCTTGTAGTTTCTAAAACAAATGTGTCTGGTTGGCTGAAGGTTGAAGGAATAGCAAACAATAATGACCCCACAGGCAACAAACTGGGGTCCAAACATTACTTATATATTCTGACAATGACAGACTTCTATTCTTGCCAGATATTTAATCAGCTTTAAATAATGTTCCTAAGTCTTAACATGGTTTGAACATCAGACAACCTTCAGTTTTTTTGTCTGAAAGGGCAGCTATTGCTGTATTGCAAATTATTCCAAGGTTTCTTTCTTGTAAAAACAACTGTAACACATGCCTGTGTGCTCCAAGCGCTGCATCAAAATGGCCCTAGTCTTCAGATACCTCGGTGCAACATTGTGCTCTGTGTAAAACTGTTTAAAATGAATTCCATGTGCAAACTGCAGGAGTAATTTTCTTGATGGATGGCATCAAAGAGTTTCCTCAACCGATTTTTTATTCCACTTCAGTACCACTTAAAATTTTGTACATGATGACCATATGCCTCCTGAAGCAGCACCATCCACTGAGAAAAATATAAACACGGAAAAAAAAAGGAGAAACAGAATTCCTGCTACACAGAAAGTACTAGATTACATTTTGGATGGTAATCAGGAATCAGTTGAAATTATCCATGCAAATTTCCCTTGGCGATTTAAGGGGGAATTATAAATACCCACCCCCGCCCGAAACAATAGATGGTCATCGTTACCCCTACATATCAATTTTTAGGGCTCAAACAAGAAAGAAGACAATAAATCACTCCTAATTGAAAAAGATGAACCATGCTGAAGAGAGATGGTTAGGTTTCAGCCTTGCAGCAGCTCTTTTTATGACTCATTGTAAAATGAGACAGCAGCACAGCGACGGCTTTTGCCAAGAGCTACATCTCATTGTCATGTTATTCATTCTATCTACTGATTTCCTCAAAACTTTAAAATATAAACCATATAAATATCCTTCTGTCAGAAGTTAAACTCTCAGTAACTCCTCGTATTGAGTGTTGAACTGCTCAAGCTGCAGTGTCTTTAATGTCCTAGGAGGCTTGAGATCTGAAAGAATAGTGAAGCATGTTGCATTTGTGACATTTATAAATTTTTTTCTCTYGGCGAATAGCTCTTTGGGAGGCCTAAACATGGCTCAAAACTTATAAAATTCAACATAATCAATAGGAATTATGTAAAATGACATATTTTAAGGGGTTTTGTGGATATGGTACACTGGCTCAACAGATGTACCTTTTATAACAGCTCCTCTGACTGATATTTTTTACAGATATAAAATTTGGTTCAAGTTTACAAGTCCAGGATCTATAAAAAAGTCTCTTGGATGGATGTCCTGAACCCAATTGGAAGTCTGCCATTGTAGATCAAAGACATAATTTTGGCATTTTACACACTTTGTATTTGAACAAACTCTTCCTGGATATTTAGGCACGTCAACTTCAAACTTGGTAAATAAACACTGAAGCCATATCTAAATAGAAACTTAAACAACTTATACTGTCTAAAAAACACAAGCCAGCACATTAACTCATAAATATGTGCAACATTTCTGTCCTTTCTTTTATTTACCAGAGTCTGGCTGGATGTAGAAGCCTTGAAGAGGAGATGAGAGCAATGTGTAGCTGATATTGCCATTGAGTCCTGAATCCTCGTCTGTAGCAGCAAGAGCCACAACTAACGTATCTTCTGTGACCAGCTCTGACAGCTCCACCTTAATGTGAAAACAAATAGGAAATAGGAATAGTAAATGATCTTTAACAACATTATATCAACCTTCTAAACATTTTGCTGGACAAGTATATTATTTGTACCTGATAAGAAGCCTGTGTGAAGACAGGAGCGTTGTCATTGGCATCAAACACTTGAACTTTAACCTCTCCCGTGGTCTGATGGAGCGAGTCGGACGCCCACACTGTCAGACTATATTCTGACTTTATTTCAAAGTCTAGAGCTTGCGTCAGGGTAATGGCTCCAGTGTAGCGATCGATTGCAAAGGGATGGCTGGTACTGCTGTTGTCTGAAAAGCTGTAGGTGATGGTTGAGCTCAGGTCCACGTCATTCGCAGCCACCTGAGTGACCAGATACCCTGCTGGTAGATCTGTGGAGATAATCATCATTACTAAAGGTGAACAAAGCTCCATTTTAAAGCTTGTTGAAAAGTTAATATTCTAATTAGATTTTGTCATTTCAAAAGCTTGGAGAGCAGAGGTGTGAATGGGTTTAAGCTTACTTTCAGCTATAAACACGGGCTTCATGGGGGGAATGACGGGGCTGTTGTCATTGATGTCCACCACTTGGACCCTAACATTGGTGGTGCTGCTGAGAGGTTGTTTGCCCTTGTCTGTTGCTTGTAGAATCAACCTGTAATATAAAATTGGGTAATTCAACTATACATCATAGGTATGTTTTTTTACAGCTGTATAAAAGAAAACTGGGTACTACTTTACAATAAGGCTCCCCTTGTAGATGACTTATAAAGAGCTTATAGATAGGTTTTTWAAACACTTTATAAATAACTAATAAATGTTTATTATGCAATAATTAAGGATGAGAAAGAGACAAAACTGTCCGATTTCTTAAYAAATAATGAGACAAATCTGTTCACGTACATATTACATCTAAAGGTGCTATATTAAATATTTCACACTAGGTTACATGTGTCTGCATTGTAAGTACAATAACATTAAGAAACACGTTTTATTACATTAATATTGTACTGTATTACTGCATTATAAATATCCACAAATATTAAAGGCATCCTTATTGTAAAGTGTAAAACTGTACACTATTTTGAATGGGGTGGGATTATTTGGTATGTTAACATGACATTTTTTTTTCTTTTTTGATACATCAACATTGTTGACAGTTACATGTTTGAACAATGGTTTCAAATATTGATAATAAACACAAAGTTTTAAAAATGGTGATTTTTCACATTAAAGACTAACTTTTGGCATTTATAAATGTTTGTCATTTATAAATAGTGTTTTGTTTTACACTTTATGATAAGTCTCCCTTTGACAGTTGTAGATATTTATAATGTAGTAATACAATACAATATTAATATAATAAAAATATGTGTTTTTTATTGTTATTTTACTTAGAATGCAGAAACCTAGTCTGAAATGTTTAATAAGCACCTTTAGATGTAATATGTACGTGAACGGATTTGTCTCATTATTTGGTAAGAAACTGGACAGTTTTCTCTTTCTTTTCCTTTATTGCATAATAATAAACATTTATTAATGATTTATAAAGTAAAGTGTTTACAGATGAATTAACAACTTATCTATAAACTCTTTATAAGTCATCTATAAGGGGAGCCTTATTTTAAAGTGGTACCGAAAAATGCGTACGAGATCTGCTCCTATACTTTCTAGTACCCAACAGATCTTCTGTTGAAGCTGCAACAGAATGATATTTTATTTCCCTCTGATTGTAGTCAGATGACTTTCTCATGAAGAAAAGATGAAAAGATCAGAGTCTGCTGGATCAGGACCAGAGACCTCTTTCATACGGATGCAGTCTGTAAAACTCTTCACGCTTATTTACAGTTCATAGATTTTATTATACACACTGGATTTAGCAAACTATCACTCCTATTTTCAAGAGCCAATAAAAAATATCCCAAACTGTGGTGAAATAGGAACCAAATGAAAAAAAAAAAAAGCTTTAGGAGGCAACTGGATGAAGAAAGAACCGATTTATTAACTGAATCAAGAAGACCATAACCGGGAATGAAGACGACAAGCATCTGACAAAGAACAATAGGAGCTGAGCTGACTGTATGCACAGGGAAGTAATGACTGAATACAAAGCAGGTGTGATAGAGGAAGCAGAAATTTACATCTGAAAACCATACAACAAAAAAAGAAACACAAGAAGTAAAGTTAACTTGAACACTACACACAACAGGAGTAAATAACATGAGAAATAGATGAGTGGAAAGCATAAAGCACAAGAAACAAATCAGGACATAAAAAACAATAAACAGACCAACCAAGGTTGCTTATTCTAATAATGGATTTATAAGTGTTTTGTTTGCATGTTGAGCCTACTTGTAWGAGGAAGTGATCTCTCGGTCCAGTAAGACGTTGGTGGCAAGAATGCCTCTCATAGAATCCAAAACGAATGCTTCGTTAGTGTTACCAGACAGGATGGAGTATTCAATCTGTCCGTTCACACCGCTGTCAGTGTCAGACGCAAACACCTGCTCAAAACAAAACACAAAACAATCAGCATCAGTAGAATCATAGCACAAATCGTAGCAGCAAAGCAGACAGAACAATTGCTCTGTTTTTTACAAAGAGGCTTTACATGTTGGAGGTGTACCTGCATGATGTAGGTGTTGCGTACTTGCCCCTCCCAAACTGATGTTCTGTAGCTGCTGTGTTCAAACTGTGGTGAGTTGTCGTTGACATCCAGCAGGGTGATGGAAACCCTGCAGTGAGCTGTCTGCGTTCCACTGTCAGCCAGTACAACCAGCTGGATCTGAGGGCTCACTTCAAAGTCCAGGATGTGGTCTTTCTGCACTCGAATCTCACCTAAGTCAGGAGGGAACAAGATGGAAAACATAAAAAAAATAAACAAAAACATAAAAACAGCTTTCAAATCAACCTCTGAGGGGATAACTTCTTTTATGATCAAAAAGGAACTGTTTATTAAGTGACAGTTCAGGTCTTCTGAAGTGGAATTTTGTGAGAAGGTTATAAACAATTAACATCTTACCTGGAGTAAATAACATTTTAATGGCTCAGTTAAGAGGAGTACTAATTAGATGTGACAGATTAACATTCTGATTGCATAATAAGTGGTTAGAGGAAGGAATATCAAATTCATTTTCTGCTTTACTAAAATAACTCCAATAAAAATAATAATCATAGCAGTTTGTGCACATGCTATTTTATAAACCTTCACATTGATATGAATTTCATTTTTCAAAACTAGTCCACAGAAATGTTAGGATTTTCTGGCTACAAGCACCCCAGTCTTCATTGGAAGGGCTGCAGCTAGCTGCTGCTGCTACTATTTGTGAYTGCAGATAACCACATAATTCTGCAGATAATCACACATGTCTGCAGATAAACACTTAAATTTGCAATATGTTTTTAAAATGCATGCTATTCAGCTAATCTGAATGAGTAAAGTTAATTTCAACAGCTTGGACTGAAGAAAAGAACAAAGAAGTGTGTTTATTACCTGTGTGAYGATTCATGGAGAAAACAAGATTCTCGTTGCCACTAAATATGGTGTACGTGATTCTTTGTCTGCTGTTTGTTTCATCGTTGGCCTCTACTTTTGCGACCAAGGTGCCTTGAGAAAGAGAAGGTGACAAATAGAGCTGAGGCTTCTTATGAAGTTTAGCGAGGGCAACAAGAGCAGAGGTACATACCTGCTCTGCTGTTTTCCTCGACAGTAACATTGTAGACTTTGTTTGTGAACTGAAGTCCATCATGTTCTCCCTTCAGGTGGATGAAAACCAAGCAGGTGGAGGTCAGGGAGGGATGGCCTCGGTCTGAAACCAACACCTGCAACTTTTTCCCAGTAAAACCTGCTCTTACTCGTCTTCTCAGTGAAATCTCCCCTGAATTTGTGTTGACGTCAAACAAGTTTTCCYCATCAGACAACACAAACTGCATTGTCCCGTTCTCGCCCTGGTCGCCATCTGTTGCCACCACCGTGGTAACTATCTGGTTTGGTGGAGTTCTCGTGGAAACCCAAGCGTTGAAGGGATTCTGGTCACAGACTGGCGGGTTGTCGTTCACGTCCTCCACCTGTACGGTGACAGATGCCACAGAGCTCAGCGGTCCCTGAGCGCAGCTGTCTGTGGCCACAGCTCTGAGGGTGTAYTGAGAAACACTTTCTCTGTCCAGAGACCTGGTGGTGCGGATCAGTCCGGTGTAGAGGTCCACAGAGAAAGCCCCGTGGCTGCTGTCTTCGGTCAGCGAGTAGGTYACATCMCCATTGGGCCCATCGTCGGGGTCAWAGGCACTAAGACTTAGGACCTCAGCTCCAGCCGGTAAACCTTCGCTGATGGAGGCGTGGTAGCTCTCAATGCTAAATGTGGGGACATTATCGTTTTGGTCCAGCAGCACCAGATRGAGCTGGGTGGTGGAGCTGAGTGAGGTTGGACCATAATCCTGGGCCTGAATGGTGAGAGTGTAATTCTGTGCTTCCTCTCGGTCAAGAATCTGTATGGTACTGATAGAACCACTGTGACTGTCGATGGTGAATCGACCTCTGTGGTCCTCACCTGGAGGCAGTGAACAGGGATTAAGTGACTGTGATGGATTAAATTTTCACAGTTTAAATTCCAAATGCTACAGTAAAATATGGCAACTGGTTTAGTTCTTAAACACAAAAACTCAGAACCRTAACAGTAAGGTGGCATGTCATCTGCATAAATGTGATAGATGTTGCTAAATTTATTATCAGTGGTGGGCAGCACTAATCTAAATATTAGTTGCACTAACCCTAAAGCACTAACTCAAATATCTAGGTCCCCTAATTCTAATGCAATGCACTGAAAAWTTTAGCAAAAGCAACTTCTAAAGCACTACTATCACCCAGTTGACACATGGAACACTCTTCAGACAATATTTACTATGTGCAGAATGTTGTCACTTAGTGCCCTTGGTGGACCAAATGGGAGTCACCCGCAGGCCACATTTGGCCCATGAACCTTGAGTTTGACACATGTGACCTTGTAGATAAGTGACACAATTATGAACAAAATGTATGACAGCTTTCACYCTSAACTGTGAACAATAAYGYAGATCAACAACATTTAAAGACCTCAGTTAGTGCTTCTAAATTTAGCCCATAAATTTTGCAAGCGCTAATCCACTAACAAATTTAAAAACTAACAAAAGCCCTAAAGAAATAATCAGGAAATTAGTTCCCCTATTAGTGCTTTRGRGGAACTGTGCCCACCAATGTTTATTACCAATCTGTTTTAGAACAGACAACAGAACCATGAGAGACAAATCAGTAGTTGGTGTAATCTGGTTTATAGAAACACTGACACTTCTATCAAAACACAATGATGTGAACCATTCTAAAGAAGTCCCACCAAAATCCTGAATTATATTCATTAAGTGATCAACAGTGTCTAAGTCTGAGTTAACATAAAGTAACAATGGTTCAGAAATAAAATGAGTTGTTGAGTCTGTACATTTTTTTCCCAAATTCTGAAATAAAAGATAGTTTACATCAGAAACACAAGAAAATACATCCTAAGTTTACGGAATCAGAGCTTGGGATACTGAGCCACATATAGGCTCCTTACCTAWTATGGAGTAGTGTATGGTGCCATTTTCTCCGTGGTCTGGGTCAGAGGCCTGAACTGTGTGTATAACTCCAGGAGGGAGGTTTTCTGGCAGGCGGATCTGTAATGATGACTGCATAAACTCTGGTGGATTGTCATTATCATCCAGCACAGAACACAAAACTACGGCTGTCCCCGAGAAAGGCCGAGCGCCGCTGTCCCGAGCCTCCACTGCAAAACACAAAGGATACAAGATGCAACAACCCCCTTTTTTTTCTACAAAATATGACAACAAAACATTAGTTTAACTTTAGAAGCACATGGAAAATACACCATTGCTGTTTCATTGATTTTTTTTTACCAGTTGTAAGATTTGAATTTGCAAGTCTTCAGTTTTCTTTATATTTTGCTTCCAAGAATTTCAAGTTTCTTGCAATGTCTTGAGTTTGTCTTGAACAATGTTTTTTTCCCAGGCTTTATGCAGATTTGTGATGGAAATTGGCAGCTTTTACACTCATTYAAAAACTGAATTTTGAAGCAAATTGATTTGGCATTTCATGTACCTCACCTATAGAATGGGCCTATTGAAATAATGGACTGAATGACAAATTGCAATAGAAACAACCTAACTCTTGAGTTCATGTGAGGCAAAAAAACAATAAAAATATTGCCATTGCAGATTTTATAYTCAGTAGCAGCAACAACAGCAACAAAACCTCACAATAAATGTAAAAAATCAACAAGAAAAATATGGTGAAAGAAAAAAATGTTTTAGTAAGTGATGAAATAAAAGCTCCGTATTTTGTTTCTTTCCAAATCCTTCTGCTGCCATAGATAATTGTCTCCACATATTTTCCCGAAAAGCCCTGTGTGATTTTGGCATGACTTCAAGAAGTTCAGGCTTTCCTGTCATTAGATTTCATTATTGGATTTAATTGTTCATCATACTGGTGACTGTACAAATATTGTGATAAAACATCTGAAAGCATTTTTAATCACTAACCACTGCTGGATCAGGCTGAATGTAATCACTGTGCTCAGCCACGTGAGAGGGAAAGCAAACACCGCAGAAGGCTGGAGGTGCCGCGGTGCAGTCGGACGAGTCTGGATCGACTGCTCAGCCCTTTAAAGGTTCCTCGAACATAAATCAGTCCGTTAAATAATGTCACCCTCATGTAGGAGGCAGGCAATGAATGCTTTATGACTCCAGTTGGGAAGTGCAGGAAGAAAGTGGGTTGCGAATGAGAAACAGATCGGTTGAGATGACTGCATCAAATGTTTCAGTTGTGTGATTTTTTTTAAAGCAAATGTATTATTTGTAAAATTATACATTGGAAACTCTGAGTTTGTTATTATTGCTTGGATGTAAAGCTTAAAAGGACATCCTGATCATACGAATTGATGCGGATTACAGGTTAGCGTCGTGTCAAATTTCTAATTTTTGCCATATTTCCCAACATGTAAGAAATTTCCTTGCAGCACATATCAGTTGCAAAATAATTAAAAAAACTATTGTGATTAACCCTTAGATGCATGAGTGACTATACCCTACACTCTTCCGTAAATGGGTCCTTTTTGACCCGTGTTAGAATCAATGTTTTTATGCTACTTTTGTCATTTTGATTCAAAATAATGTTTTATATCTTATTTTCTCCTAAAATTTTATCCATACAAGAATTAATATTTGAAATATTTTTATTTTTCACTTTTTAAAACATTTTTAGAACATTTTTAAAACAACGAAATGACAATTTTAGAGCAGCAATGGAACANGGTCTTGCCCACGTTCCCACGGACTCAGGGGAAATCTTTCCACCTACTCCCCCTCCCCCCATTATGTCAGCCGCCTCCTCAGCATCCAACAGCAAGATGGGGACATCCATAAAACATGAAGCTGGCTGGACAGGAAAAAGGGCGGCGGTGGTGAGGGTTAGCAAAGTGTGTGTGTGGTGTGTGTATCTAAGAGAAAGCTGAGATTGAGACATAGATACACATCTTACTACACACTCACTCACACACACACCGTGCTGCATCACTGCCAGCCCCCGGTAAGCACGGTCAGTCAGTTGCAAGGTTGTCTCCATCAGTGTGAATTTATATCCCGGACGTCCAGATTCGATCCTGCCTCAGCAGCTCTCTTGATATTTTATCTCGCCCTCGCAGATGTCTCATCCAACAGCTTCACCTCAGCTTGCTGCTGTTTCCCAAACACCTTCTTCTCTCAGCTTATGCTCTGCATGCTAATCCTACTGAAGTGATTATCAATAGAACGGCTCATTATTAAACCACAATGAATGACAAAACGCAGCAGACGTAACTTCATGCCTCAACAAAGACACAAAACTTCCTTTATGTTCAGTTTGTAACAGAGTTATTATTTTCATCTTGAAAAAGACTGATTGTAGAAATCTGGCAGTAACGCTTGAGAAAAGGATGAAAATTTGCAAGTGGATTGGTTTGGTAACTTTGGTTATTGTTATGCTTAGCAGTTAGCACAAAAAGGAAGGCAATTTGTGTTTGGTAGATTTTTCCTTGTTGTAAYAATGTTTCTTGCCAATAAATCTTATATCAGGCACCTGAATGGCAGCATCTGGGGGTACCAGAAGGTCAAAACAAGTGCCAATAGCAACAACAAAATAATATCTTTATATCTATACATATTTAACACTTAGACACGTGAGTGATCGGACCCTACACTCTTCCGTAAGTGGGTGTTTTTTGACCCGTGGATCAATGGGTTTTTATGCTACTTTTGTCATTTTGATTCAAAATAATGTTTTATATTATATTYTCTACTATGATTTATTCCATACAAGAATAATTTAATATTAGAAATTTTTTATTTTTTGCTTTTTTAAACATATAAAACATTTTTAAAACAACGAAATTACAATTTTTGAGCAACAATGGAACAATGTCAACGTCCATTATGTGTGTGTGTGTGTGTGTGTGTGTGTGTGTGTGTGTGTGTGTATGTGTAAAAAGGCTGACCTTTGTCACCAATTCTGTTCATAAATTTTATGGACAGAACTTCTAGGCGCAGCCAAGGTGTTGAGTGGATGAGTTTTGGTGGCATTAGGATCACATTTTTTGCGGATGATGTGGTCCTATTGGCTTCATCAGATCGTGATCTTCAGCTCTCACTGGAGCGGTTCGCAGCCGAGATGATGATCATGCCTTCAAATCCAAGACCATGGTCTCAAGCCGGAAAAGGGTAGAATGCCTCATCCTGGTCGGGGTCGGGAAGAGGTCCTGCCCCAAGTGGAGAAGTTTAAGTATCTCGGGGTCTTGTTCACGAATGAGGGAAGAATGGAGCAGGAGATTGACAGGCGGATTGGTGCTGCATCTGCAGTGATGCGGGAGCTGTACCAGTCTGTCGTGGTGAGGCGGGCGCTGAGCCAGAAGGCGAAGCTCTCGTTTTACCGGTTGGTCTACGTTCCTACCCTCATCTATGGTCACGAGCTTTGGGTAGTGACCGAAAGAACGAGATCACAGATACAAGCGGCCAAAATGAGTTTCCCTCGCAGGGTGTCTGGGCTCTCGCTTAGAGTTAGGGTGAGAAGCTCGGTCATCCGGGACAGACTCAGAGTAGAGCCGCTGGTCCTCCAAGTCAAGTTGTAGTTCAGCCCTCAAGCCGATGCGGTGTCTCAGGCTGTGGCTGCTGCTGTGCACAAGCAGCTTCTCAGAGCCATAGGTGAGAGTTGGGTAAGTGAGGACCTGTAACGTCACCTTTACCTTGTCTTGTAGACAGCCAAAACTCGGCCTTTTGAAAACAGTGATGTCATAGATTTACCTTTAATCTAACTTAGAACACTAAATGTATCAATGAGACAGTTTAATGAAACAGTTTATGTTTTCGTATTTATGCTCTGTGCCTTGTTTCCTGTTTTCTGTGTATTTCTGTGGCAGTGTTAAAGCACCACATACATGCCTGGCAGAGTTACYACAGGGGTTTCTATCTGGATGAAAACATTTCTGAAAACAGCTCTGTATTTTAAAAGTTATTTTTAGAAAAGGCAAATACATGGTTTTGGAATAAACTGTGGGTCTTGGAGGGATGTGGTTATCAGCAAATCTTCTGAAACAGGGATCCAATCACACAACTATTTCCATAGAATTATCTGTATAAACAAATAGAAGCAGCAGCTAGCTGTAATACATTTTTGATGCCTTTCTGTTGGAATATCATAATATTAATATCAGTGAAGGCTCATAAAATAGTATTCACATAAACCATTGTTAAATTTATGAAGTTATTTTTTGTTTTGTTTTTAGAACAGCATCAATCCACTTTGGTTTGGATCTGTTAGCTTCTCAAGCAAGTCAGAATTAAACTGTTTTGTTTAAAGTGAGGTTGTTCAAATAGTTACCTGTAACAGGTAAAGTTATTGTTCAGAAACTTTTCACAGAATCACATAGGTATAAGTGGATGTGAAAACAGGAAACTATTTTAAATAAAGATTATAAATGTGTGTTGGTTTTACCTCTGAGTATAAAATGTTGATGTTTTTCTCTGTCCAGGTGGGAGGTGGTGGTGATGAGGCCGGTGTATGGGTTGATGCTGAAGAACTCATAGCCAGGACCCGGCAGAAGACTGTACCACACCACAGAGTTCTCCTCTGAAGGATTTACACGTATTTAATGTCACAACATCATCAAACACAATTCTGCTTATTCTCAGCTGAGCTAAAAACTCTCATGTTGTTTCAGATGTGTCTTATTGTTCYTTTTACTTAAACACTTCATATTCATCTAAACTGACAAAATGATCATAAAATTACCTCATAAATCATAAATACGCCTTCATCCCAACAGCAGCACAATAATTCTTCAAATTTAATTCATACAAACACAGAAATGTTCCAAAGTTAATTAAATCTTAGATACGTCGAGTAAAACAAAGTTAAACTCTAAAGCATGACATATGGAAACTGGATCCAACAGAGCTACAGAACAATGAACATTTTTTTGGTGGGAGTGTGTGTGTGTGTGTGTGTGTGTGGGTGTGTTTGGGGGGGGGGGAGCAGCACAAATTATAATCAAATAAGGTGGTGGAAGAGCAGGCGAGGAGACAGATGAAAAATACGGCGCCTATTGGCACAGGTGGCTTGGATTATGGCAATCATCCTGTGAGAGGACCTTTCACGTCTCCCAGAGGAGCTGTGTTAGTTCAAGTCGAGCCCCCCCCTGTGCAGATCCTTCACCCCCAACCCCCACCCTCCAGCTCCAGCTCCTGCTGTCGACGAGACGAGACGGAGCAGAGGGCCCGTTTGTACAGCATGGTAAAATAAACACATCTGATGTGACAATTTGTGACTCTGAGCAGGGGTCATGTGACTGGCATTCAGAGGGACTGGCAATAATAATAAAAAAAAGTGCCTGAAAACGACACAAATAGACACATACGAGGTAAAGGAAAAAAATTAAATCCAATAAAYTGAGGGTGGATTTATAAAACAAAAAGTGATAATTTCAATTACTTAAACATGAATAATACAGAGATAAAACCATTGCAGAAAAACAGATTTGACAACCAATTTCTAAAAATATACTTGGATTCAACTCCATACAATTAATGAAGCTTTATAACTTAAGTTCAGTCTGTTTGGTTTTATTGTATTTTTAGTTTGAGGCTATACAGACGTCATAAACTCATGCCTGTGCTGCCATCTAGGCATCTTAAAAATTACTGCCGTCTTCATTTCAGCAGGAGAACTCTTTGGGCGTAACCTCCCCACAATTTATCAGASAAGTGTAGGCCAGGTCGGGCAATAATGTCACTGTTTTTAAGATGCCACAACTGGCCCAGTTGTGATTTGGTCTATGTGATGCTGACCCATCTATGAACCACCTCTGGGAAACCACATCTGGGCCACCAAAGGGCCATCTTTCTTTGCTGGATCTGGGTAGAGTGTGTGGGCCAGAACTGGATCAGACAAATTTTGCTTTGTGGGTCTGATCTACTACATGTAGAAAATGAAATGCAAAACATTCAAAATGAGAAATAATTTTAGATTATCGAAAAATAATAATAATAATCTCTATATCTGAATACAAATCTAAATTTACTTTTCCAAATCTGAAAAAAAAAACACTTTTTCATAATAAAGTACCATTTTATTATTATTATTATTATTATTATTATTATTATTATTATTATATTTTGCATTATGACTTAGAGAATTTAATTATAGCTGCTGTGTACTGAGGTAAAACTGGGACCTTTAATTTATTCTTTATTCAACATGAACTCTTCAGGTCATCTTAGCAAAGCAGACAGAAACAATGAAAAAGTGCGGCTGCTTAATCGAGGATCAACATTTAATATAGGAATGATTACCTGAGTCCATGTCAGTGGCAGAAACCCTGACCACAGTTTCTCCAGGGTCTCTGTTCTCTGCCACACTGGTGTTATAGGTGGTCTGACTGAAGACAGGTGGGTGGTCATTCACATCCCCCACCTCTACGGTCAGAGTCTGGGTGGAGGACAGTGAGGGGAGGCCGTGATCCACCGCACGGACGGTCAGACGGTGGACACGCCGGGTCTCGTAGTCCAAGGGTGTGGAGAGAAACAAAAGGCCTGAATACAACAAAAGAGTTTAAACGCAACAAACAGAAGAGGCAAACTAAGAAACTACAAAAGAACAATAAACTGTACCTGTTTTCTCCTCCAGTGTAAAGAGGCCTTTTTTGTTTCCAGCCATAATGGAGAAAGACACCTCCCCGTTTTCACCTTGATCCCCATCTATAGCTGCAAAATGATGCACCAGACTCCCCACTTCTGTGTCCTCCATCAGCTGGACTCTGTCAGCGGACACAAACACCGGACGGTTGTCGTTTACGTCCAGCAGGAAGAGCTGAACTGTCACCGCCGTCTGTTTACGCTCATCCAGCCTCTCTGCCTGGTCCGTGGCCGTCACCGCAAAAACAAAAGAGGGGGTGCTCTCCCGGTCCAACGGTGCCACCACGGTCAGGCTGCCCGTCCGTGGGTTCAGGTGAAAGGGGAGGTGTGACGGTGACCCACTAATTTCAGGGTCAAAGGTCAGAGAGTAGAAGAGGGCACTGTTAGGGTAAGTGCCGTCAGCGTCTCTGGCGTGAAAAGCAAAGGCCAGGGATCCGACCACAGCGTCTTCCCTCAGCCCGAACATCAGCAGCTTTTCAGGGAACCAGGGGGTGTGGTCATTCACATCCTCCACCGCCACGCTGACCAACACGGACACATTCACTCCAGGAGCAGGGCCGACGTCTTCAGCTCGGATTATGAGGAAGTACTGCATGGCAGACTCATAGTCCAGCGGCTGGTTAACGTAAATCTCACCGGAGGTGGCGTCGATTCCAAAGTAAACACTCCCATCACCCTCAGCAATGCTGTACTGGAACCGGCCTTCTTCTGAAACAGAGGCGGAGCCGATTATAGTTGCAGGATCTGCATCCTCCCTCACAGAGAAATGTCTGAGTGCCKGGTGGTCAGAGCTGCTGTACAGATCCTCTAACCCATACACCTGCAGGAGAAAGACAWGCAGTTATTGTTTCTACAACAGAGATTAAAAAAAATAAACTGCTAAGAACTAAAAAGGGAGAAAATATAAAGACACAGTACAGTATGTTCAGCTAGGAGACAAGTMCTATAAACTGAGTAGAACAACATCTGAGGTGATCATTTAAAAACAACACGCAAATATTTTTTTCCACCTTTTATTTAAGATAATACTTTCTAAAGTTACGGTTGGGATACATTGAGTGAGTTAAACACCTACTGTACTGTAAGAGATAAAAACTGTTTTTTATTAGTTATGTCAATTTATGTATCTATTTTATAGGTTAGGAGCTGACATTTGGGAACCACTATTTTAAAATAAAAAATATAAACATAAAACTATACAATTATAAATATTGCAAAAGGAATAAAGTATTCCATTTATTATGAAAAAGAAACTAGAAAAAATACAACTGTAAAATAAAGAATAGAATGCTTTTGGAACATGATTCTGTTGAAAGGTTATGAACAAAACAATACAGTATCTTATTTGTTGCAGATACTTCAAATGATTATTTCATAAATTGTGAAGTATGGAATATATGTAAAATAATTAATCTGAAGTTGATGGTATGTAAAGGTTYATAAATGGACGTTCATCAGAAATCTTTCGATTTTAGTTGTTTTCGACRTTAATCCCAGTCTCAATCAGATAGCAGTTAGCTCATCTGTTTGAATTAAATTAATTTTTGTTTTATCAAACTGTATCTGCTTAAGGAGCCATCTACAATAGATAAGAAATTAATTTCTAACCTTTCTACACTCCAAATAAGCTGAACTATTGTTTTGATAAAAATTAAAGCAGATTTAAGATTCCACTTTCTGGAATGAATGGACTCTCCTTTGCATGGATGGATGGATGGATGGATGGATGGATAGATGGATAGATGGATGGATGGATGGATGGATGGATGGATGGATGGATAGATGGATGAATTCCATCCTCTAACATCCTAAACTACAGTTTTCAGTGGAGGACAGGCCACACCTGAACGTGAAGCACTGCTGTTTCCTCCTGGGGTGTGGCTCCTCTGTCTCTGGCAGTTATCCTCAGAGTGTAGAAAGTTTCAGTGGTTTGGATGAAAAGATGTGTTGATCTTATGTCTCCAGTTTCGCTGTCAATCTCAAAGTGTTCGTCTGTTAAACCAACTGAGAGAGAAGAACAGGGGGACACTCCGTAATTCTGCAGATTTCAAACAACAAATCCACTTTTTACAACCCACCTGTTATCAGAGAATGGGTTACAGTTCCATTCTCTCCAGCATCCAAATCTTTGGCAAACATGTTCATCACCAGGAATCCTGCAGGTACACCAGCCCAAATCTGCAATTCATCCACTGTGTCAGTTAAATACAGTAAAACATTTGTTATAAAATAACCAGTAAGATCAGAGGTGTCACCAAATAGGGAGCGCAGGGACAGTGGAAACCCCAATAATTCTGCTACCACGAAAGGGAGGTGATAATTTAAATGGTTTTGTGTCTGTTAGCAAAAAATCTCATTAGCCACTGAATGGATTTTAATGGAACTTTCAGAAAGTAATCACTGGATGTACATCTACAAATGATTAACTTTTGGATCCAACCTTATTCAAAATGGCTGCTACAACAAATCAAAATGAGTAAGCACAAACTTAGATTCGATTTAGACCATTTTACAGATATCAAGCTACAATTTGGTGAGGGACTGTTGGAGAGTCCTACCCAACACTCAAACTGATTGCATAAAGCTCCTGCTTAAAACTTTGAATTTAATTGTTGGAGTCTATGCCCTCTGTCAGTTATCCCCAACATACACTCAGAGCAGTAACAAACTGTGCAAGATTTTTGTTTAACATGTTCCTTCAAGGACATCTAGGACTTTAAATGCTTTAGCACCAYCCCAAATGTGAATCCTTGTTGATGCTGTAAGATGTTTTGTTTTGTTCTGAAGAGTGCTTTTATATTTTTAAGACTTGTTAGGAAACATGGTTTTTCCTTCTTATTGCTGTTTAGCTCTATTTCTTTCAAAAGGTCATATTCAGATTTTGCAGCAAAGACAACTTTAATCTGATGCACACACGTGAAAATTCCTCATGTCTGCCGTGATCAGATGATGAGATGTAGCAGACAGCAAAGTTTTAACTAAAACTAAATGATTTTAAATAAATGTGTTGAATATTTGACGATCATTAATAAAATGAGTCTTACGTGAACGCTCAGCTCTTTGCTTGCAGGCAGATGTGTGAACTGCGGAGCATTGTCATTGACATCAGTGATCAGGATGTGAACAGTGGCGGTGGCGTTTAGCCGAGGGCGACCCTGGTCTGTCACCATCACCTTCACACTGTGCTGACTGTGCTGCTCTCGGTCCAGCGCCACCCAGTTGATGATTTCACCTAGAAAGGCAGAAAGGTGAGCTGAACTTAGAAACAGAAAACTGTGTTTTACTGCAATATTTTATTTGCTTTTTTACCCGTTTTAGCATTGATGCGAAAGAATTTCCCATCTGAGAGTAGGATGTAGGACAGCTGGCTGTTCTTCCCAGAATCCTTATCGATGGCTGTCACTCTCCCTATGAGGCCTTGCGGCGACGATCCCTCACAGACGGTGAAGTAGTACACCTCGCTGCTGAACACTGGAGCATTATCATTGACGTCCAGAACTTGTACCGTCACAGTTGCTGTTGCAGTGATGTTTGCCACAGAGGCCTCCTTGGATGTGGCTAAAACCTGAAATCGATAACTTGACTCTGTCTCGTAGTCGAGACTGCGGGACAAATACAACCATCCAGTTTTTGGGTGAATGCGAAAAGGAGGCAAAGTGAACCCGGGCTCTGCTTCTAAAGAGTAGACAAGGCCTGAGTTTGATGTGTGAGCTCTTTGGGTCCGGTGCGCCCTCACTTGGATGACCCGTGAGTCTCTTCGGTGACTCTCACCTATCTCCACCTGGTAGACCAACGTCTCAAAGGACAGGCTTTCTTCTGCAGCAGTCTGGTCTACATAAACAGAGAGGGTTAGCGKGGAGCTCAGGGGAGGTTCTCCTTCATCTTTAGCTACGATTTCCAGGTTGTACCATCGTGGATGTCTGACCCCCAAAGTCTGGTTCAGTGTAACTGTTCCGAGGTTGGCATCAATCGCAAAGGTACCATTTTGGCTACTTTTCAGGTAATACTGCACCCTCCCATTGGCGCCGCTGTCATGGTCATGTGCATGGGCGATGAACAGCACCATTCCAGGTTGAGTGTTTTGGGACACAGTGATGGCGTTGCTCCTTTTGGCAAAGATGGGGGCATTGTCGTTGACGTCATCTACGGTGATGTTGATCTGCGTGGTGCTGTAAACAGGAGACGTGTCAGTGTAGGACTGAAGGACCAGCAGAACGAACGGCTGAGACTCGTGGTCCAGAGGCTTGATGCTGCTGATAAGACCAGACTTGGGATGTACGGAGAACAAAGCATGAGGGTCTCCAGAAGAAAGTCGGTAAGACACTGATCCAGCGGAGTCTGTGGGGACAAAACATTATACAAATGTGACCAATAAAACAATGAAACTATGTACCAGGGTAGAGAATCAGCCAAGCATAAAAACAAATAATCCTGCTGTCAACCTGAAAAAAGATGTTCTTGATTGGATAGTAATATACCCCCATGCGGGCAAAAAATAAATGTAACTTTTAGAAAATATAATTTAGAAAAAAGGRAGGGATAAATGCAGTACTACTTAAATTTCATACATCACACCACWCACACACTCCCAGATAAAGTGATTACAGTACAGGTCATAAAATCCCCAATAATCCGCACCATGTGTTTGTTGCACTTTAACACCAACCACTGAAACAAGCAAACAGCTTAACGCTGGCCAACTGTGTTGTTCCACTTCAAACTGAAGTGTTAATCTGTAAATTGATGGGAAATCCTTAAATGACTGTCTGGCGTGGTGGAGGGGTTAAGCTGCTAAAAGACCCCGTGGAGTAACAAAGTCACTACAAAGAGGTAATCCTAAAAAAGAGGGAAGCAAACGTTCACTGAGACTGAGACAAGATGACACTGAGCATTAATGTGTTGTTAGACACAACTGTGGTAAAATACACGACAAACAATAGATCTCCTAAGGATTTATGAAAGAAAAGATGTCAAATCTTTTAGAATAATACATTCAAAGATTAAACACATCCTGTATGTCTCAACACATTACTGTTTCTCATGTTATTATTAATTAATTTTAAAGATTATCCTGTGGCTTTTCTCTTCATTTCTTGGTCAGGATTGATATTTTTGTTTGTTTTTTGCTGTTTTGAAGTTTACTTTGTTGTGCACTTTTCCTCTGTCAGTCTATGCTACTCAGTCCCTTTTATTTTGGTCCAATATGAYGGCTTTCAAGATGGTGGTTATGTTCTGGACATAGCCTAAAAGATAGGCTCCCTCTTTCGGATGTGTAACTTTTTTTCTTTTTTGTGAAATAAAATGTGTCCTACGATTTTTGACTCATCTTGTATTGTACATACTGTATATACACGTAGAAAATAGGATAATCAGAGATGTTGTAGTTTCTCCTTTTAAAGTTGTTGAGATGTTAAAATAAATGTAATCATATTTTTTCTAATTTTAGTATAGACAGAAATATATTTAAACATTTATAATAGCAATTGTAATTTATCAAAACTGTAAAAAAAAAAGGCTGGTTGTGGCTCATTAAAGAACTGTAAAACTATTTCAACACTGATTCACGTTACAATTTAATTAGCTGCTTTAATCCTATATTTTCCATGCACATAGTTCAAGTCAACACAATCAATAGCTATGTTGCCGACAGTTGTCCTGAAAATGCTGTATATRTCAAAAATACATTTGACTTCACATCATAGCCTATCTAAACACCTTAAAATAGGCCTCTATCTCTTTCAGAACCTTCTACCGTTTCCAACACTCTCACTTCAGCACATTTTCACAACAMAGCTTTAGAGGAGGGGTTCTCTGGTGCGAGAGCTCAGCTGCAGACAGAGCTCCAGGGAGGAGCTTTGTACAAAYAGGCAGTGATTTGTACTGACAGCTCCACACGGCTACCACAGGAGATTCAAGGATTCCTCAAACATGCATAAATGAGTCAATGCAACACTTGTTTTTGATGAGGGAATGACATTATAACATTATATAAATCTCAAAAAAGTATATTTTGCAAAATACCCCCACACCCCCTTTAAATCCATGGAACTTCAAAAAATTATGTAATTTAGTGTTTGTATTGACATATTTTTCTCCCTGGTTTATTTTAATTTTTTAAAACAAAAATAAAAAGACAATCCTGTTTAAAATCGCTCTATAATTAGGGTTGATGCAGAATGTTGATTGGAAGGCATGACGAACAGCAGAACACTGAAACTTTGTGGTCCATCCTGCACAACGCCTTTATGCCTGCAAGCAATCTGATTATTATCATGAACAAAACTCTCCACATTTCTCTGTACTGTAAGAATCAGGCAGGAAGAAATGCTCACCGGTTGGGTTACTGGCCACCACCGTCCCCACAGATGTCCCAACAGGTGCGTCCTCAGGCACTGTGAAGGTGTAGCGGGACCTCAAACACTGCTGGAGCCTGAGAGCTTYGTAAAATATTAACAGTGACCTCTGCAGGCCGGGGTGAGGTCAAGCCCTCTTCATCCTGTGCGGTGATGAAGAGCTTCATGCTGGCTGCACCCAGGTGGGTTAGAGAGGAGTTCAGGAAAAGTGTTCCTATGCAAAAATAAATAATTATTCATTTTTAAAAATTACTTTATAAAACAACAAAAACACTGTATGGTGTTTGCATGAGTCCCAGTGAAAAGTTTTAAATTTGGAATTGCTTTAATTTTGGCAGCAATTCACTGTTAAACTGGCTGTTAGTGGTTTTTGCATCAATTCAGTCAGAATTMAACTTTATTTCTGAGGTACTTGAAAAAGCTATCTATAGCAAGTAAGATATTAACTGYTCACAACTTTTCCACAAAACCCCACTTTAGGATCTAAACTCTAAATTTAATACATAAGAATGTAGCTGATTTTTAAAASTTCTCTGCCAGCTCAAAAGTCAACACTTTCTGACACTGTAATAGATATTGTATTTAAATGTGAAAAATCAACACAAGCTAAAAATGTATTGCTTTATTTGATCTATTTTGATATTTTGTCACGGTGTGGCTAAACGTAATCCCACAGCTTTGCAGTCTTTCTGCTCTGCTGCTGAGCGGTGACAATAGTGATCATCTTATGGGGACTTAAATGAGCAAACTGTTAATCCCTGAAAACAACAGCTGCCACTCACACAACTTGATTAGTGGGTGAATCTGTGACAAGTCAAGCTTGAAAAGTCATTCAAACACAATTTTATAGCAAAAATGACCCTTCAGTATTGACTTTCCACATGTTTAACTCAGAAGTAAATTAGCCTGATGTCTATACCTGTTTGTTTATCCAGTGCAAACAAATCAGACACGTCTCCAGGGTGAATGTGGTAGGTGATCTGTCCAAATCTGCCGGCGTCTCGGTCGGTGGCGACGACATTACCAAGTTCTGTTCCAGGAGGAGCGTGGCTGCTGATGCTCACTGTGTACTCCTCAGGGCTGAACACYGGAGGGTTGTCGTTCACGTCTTCTATCTCTATATGAACGTACGTCTGAGCGCTCAGGCCTCCCTGAAACATAGAAAAAAGGAAACATTTMTGAATGATTGGAAAAGAAAACTTCTCACCTGATTATGTTAACATTAATTCAGCATCCGTACTTCAGTTTTCCTGTAAGTTTTACGCAATCCAACCAATCTTCTGGATACTTTGTAATGTTTAAGGCATTTCTATGTCAAAACATGCAGCTCAKTCAGGAGATTGCAGCTTTGACTTGAGTTTTTGTAACTTTGAAATGTTTCATAATATTCAACATTCTTTACAAATGTTTTAATCTAAAAATACACTAAAGCACATCTATTACTGTAATAGATTGTTCTGCAGATTTTGCTCTATTTTTAAATACTATATCTATACTTTTAAAATTTAGTTACCMTTATGCAACATTTGTCTTTAACTTAGCTATTTGCGAATTTGAGCTTAAAATATACTATTTTTGGAATTTAGCTTGCCTTTTGAACATTTAGCTAAACTTTTGCTGCTTTAAGCCAATAGCTATCACATAGCTACTTGGGTAATTCTATTATTATTGCTACAGTTGATAATGTCATAGCAATATATTGTTTTGTGGATTGATGTATCTGCTGCTGCTGCTGCTGTTGCACCTGGATTTCCTCTCTGCAGGACAATATAGGCTGTTTCTATTCTATTCTATTCTATTCTATTCTATTCTATTCT